CAATACATGCAAAGTTCTTTATTCTAGTTTATTTTAAAAAATGTTTAATAAAAAAATAGTTCGTACTTCACCAAAACCATAAAAACAAAATCTCTAAACTTTGTGCTAAACTCGGGGAAAATTTAATAAATTTGCATTCTAATTTGCAACTTTCTATTCAGATTTTTGAGAAAAATGTTAGGTATGCAGTTTTATAGCCCATTCAATTTTAGTATAACAAAGTACAAGTTTGAAGTATCTAAAAAATCGCGTTGATTTTTGGCAGCTTTNTTTTAATAAAAAAATAGTTCGTACTTCACCAAAACCATAAAAACAAAATCTCTAAACTTTGTGCTAAACTCGGGAAAATTTAATAAATTTGCATTCTAATTTGCAACTTTCTATTCAGATTTTTGAGAAAAATGTTAGGTATGCAGTTTTATAGCCCATTCAATTTTAGTATAACAAAGTACAAGTTTGAAGTATCTAAAAAATCGCGTTGATTTTTGGCAGCTTTGTGAGTGGAAGGTGTTGTTCATTTTCTCCATACAAAAAATAATTGTCGAACATACTTTTTATGGAAGAACCCGAGTGAAAAAAAATTTTTTCATCTTGTCTTGTGTAGTTGGATCATGGAATTACTGAATTCCAGAGTTTAACAGTGTAAAACTCGTAAACTTATGAGGCTTTAATGGAACGCCCCCTTTGTGAAAAGGAGCGTAAACTGACTGTTTGACCATGATGCAATAATACAAGGTGTTATCAGTTGGCAACTTCTCGCTCTAATTCCGCCATATTGACTACCTTACGTGAAACAGTGTTCCTTCTTTCACTATTCTTTGCCCAATAATATAGTTGAATGCTTTTTATTTTTTCTCAGTATACACACTTTGATTTCTTAAAAAGGTATTTTATCTTATTTTATTTCATTTCATAACGAATACACTATAAAAAAGCAAATTTTGTTAAGGAGAAAATGTGAAATTTTATATTTTTCCCCCATTTGGGGATTCATTTCTTCCCGTTTTTCTTCTCATTCTACTGAGCTAAGGTAGTGTCAAATCGAGCTGTCACAACTGATACCATGGTAACTGATACCACCTTGTATTATTGCATCATGCTGATTGACAGCCCAACCAGTGTTTTGTGAAGCAATTTTTGTTTCGCAGTATTTTCCATTACATCCCGCCATCTTGTCTCTCTTGCTAAAATACAATTAAAAATGCAGAAAATTAGCAGAAAACCTATGTCAAAACAGTTAGGGGATGAAATTAATTTATTTTTTTATCGTCCTATCGATCGTTTTCGACAACCTTATCGTCGCCTGGGTAAAAAAAAATTGTCGTATGTTAATTTCGGCTGGTTTTGCTAAATCGGGGTTGAAGTTTGGACTGCAATTTCTAAAAATGCGAAGATAGATTTTCTCCAAAATCTCTGAAAATATTACTAGTTCACAAAATTCTTAAATTATTTAATTTTTAATGTTTATTGTTAATTAGTTTTGAGTTTATGTAGGATTTTCTTTAGTAAAATTTTGCCGTAAGCTCCACTTGTCCACAATTTGGCCGTCACATTGTATGAAATGCGACAAAGTGTGATCAAAATTTCTACCAAATTAACGACACTACTCAATATCTCGGATAAAGAACGCCATTTTTAAGATATTGAATAGTTTAATATGACTGCATCACCAATTAAATTTTTACTGAATTATCGAAAAAGTTGTAGTCAATATCTGGGAAACTAAAGGAGATATCTAAAAACTGATAGCAACAATCGGAAGACCTTATTTCAAAATATATAACTGCATCTACAACTAAAAATCGTCAAAATGGCGCTTACGACAATCTTTTACCCAGGCGACGTTATGTCAATATCGTTGTAAAGCTAATACAACCCATTATTCCGTAATCTAAACTTACATATTTTTCTTAGTGTATAAATTTGATTGGAACTGAATTCGAGAATGCACACATAGCAAAGTGTCCATTCATCTGGCAGCTAATTCAGAATTGAAGCCTGTTTACTTCAGCATTCTCAGTTTTTCATTCTGGTATTTACCACCTTGCCGTGTGAAATGAAATTTTTTTAAAGCGAAGCGCACATTGGCGCGATTCTGTCGTTGCGAATCCGCAAGCCCAAAAATTACAACAATGCTACCCATACATTTTAATGCGCTAGCGCACACTTGCACGATTCCGTCGCTGCGAATTTTTCGAACATTCAATGTTCCTCTCTATTGACGCGTTCGAAACGCGGCTTGCAGCAGTGTCCTTGGACACACACGCGAAATAATGGCAATTTTTTCTTGACCGTTTTCTTGAGAGCTGCATACAGGGCTTTAACAGTGTAAAACTCGTAAACTTATGGGAATTTTGACATTTTTGATACTTCACAGCCTGTTGCCTCACTCTTTCCTCAAGAAATAATGGAACGGGCATATATTTCTGTTGCAAACTTGGGTTGCCTTGTGCTCTTTTTTCACAAAAAACTTTAGAAAACCGTAGTAGAAAGCATAGTAAATTTCTTAAAAACTGCGTACTGCCTTAAGGAAATTTGACTCAAGAAAATTTCTTAGCCATTTCTTGTACGTCATTTTATATGGAGTTTTTGCTTTTCTTGAGAGCTGCATACAGGCCTTTAATGGAACGCCCCCTTTATGAAAAGGAGCGTAAACTGTCTGTTTGACAGCTCAACCAGTGTTTTGTGAAGCAATTTTTGTTTCGCAGTATTTTCCATAACATCCCGCCATCTTGTCTCTCTTGCTAAAATACAATTAAAAATGCAGAAAATTAGCAGAAAACCTATGTCAAAACAGTTAGGGGATGAAATTCATTTATTTTATTCGGTTCTAATTTCATTATTATTTTTATTTATTTTATCAAATATTTAAGTATAAAATTTGGGCCCCTCGGCAACACTGAAGTTTGCGAGGTCGCCTTATCGTCCTATCGATCGTTTTCAAAAACCTTATCGTCGCCTGGGTAAAAAAAAATTGTCGTATGTTAATTTCGGCAGGTTGTGGGAAATCGGGATTGAAGTTTGGAATACAATTTCTAAAAATGCGAAGATAGATTTTCTCCAAAATCTCTGAAAATATTACTAGTTCACAAAATTCTTAAATTATTTAATTTTTAATGTTTATTGTTAATTAGTTTTGAGTTTATGTAGGATTTTCTTTAGTAAAATTTTGCCGTAAGCTCCACTTGTCCACAATTTGGCCGTCAGATTGTATGAAATGCGACAAAATTTCTACCAAATTAACGACACTACTCAATATCTCGGTTAAAGAACGCAATTTTTAAGATATTGACTAGTTTAATATGACTGCATCACCAACTAAATTTTTACTGAATTATCGTAAAAGTTGTAGTCAATATCTTGGAAACTAAAGGAGATATCTAATAACTGATAGCAACAATCGAAAGACCTTATTTCAAAATATATAACTGCATCTACAACTAAAAATCGTCAAAATGGCGCTTACGACAATCTTTTACCTAGGCGACGTTATGTCAATATCGTTGTAAAGCTAATACAACCCATTATTCCGTAATCTAAACTTACACATTTTTTTTAGGGCCGGTTGTTCAATGTCTGATTAGCACAAATCGGAGGTAGAAGCTCCGGTTAAGCACAACTACTGCTTTATCGATCACATGTTACATGCATGAAGGCTCTGTTATGCATACTTGGCATTGCATGCACTGCTATACCATTTTTACGTAGAAATCAAAATCCAACAGACTTTTACGTATGTAATGCTGTGCGTTGGGTAACCGCTTAAGCTGAAATTAGTCGAGAACGCAGAACGTATACTTAAACGCAGTCTGTATACGCAGAATTTTGTCGATTACTAGAGCCCTCAGTGTTGCTTACTACACTGTTGCCACTCTTCAATGCCTTTTCATAAACTTACCCTTTCAACTACAATTTTTGGTGCTATAATAGATCGTAGCTTAATATAAACTACTTAGTGTTTAACAAAAAACCTTATTCAATAGTAAATTTCAAATATTTTAAACGTATTTGGAATAGGAACTTATAACTTTTTTACCATCTGAAAAACTGACGAAGTGGCAACCATCTAAAGAAGGAGAAATCAGCTGACACGGAAAAATCTAAATTCCGCAGATTTCTGCGCTACGGGCTACAACTACAGAAAAATTCTGCGGTGTTGAGTTTTCATTTACATGGCGCTTTGGTAAGACAGATCGTGTCAGCTGACTCGGGTTTACGTACCGGTAGGTTTACGTTCTTGACTAATTTCAGCTTTACACGCGAAGCTCATTTAACAGATTCCTTATGTGACAACTCTCAAGCAATGCCAAGTATGCATAACAGAGCCTTGATGTCGAAATCGTCGATAGTGTAGTGGTAGTGATAACCAGACATTGAACAACCGGCCCTTATTAGTGTATAAATTTGATTGGAAGCGAATTCAAGAATGCACACATAGCAAAGTGTCCATTCATCTGGCAGCGAATTCAGTATTGAAGCCTGTTTACTTCAGCATTCTCAGTTTTTCATTTAGGTATTTACCACCTTGCCGTGTGAAATGAAATTTTTTTTTAATGATTGTAGATTGCATGATAAAAACATAGCAAGGTAGAACCGTTCTCTCAATTTGTCGGCAATGTTTTTTTTTTTTTGAAGTTTGCCAACAAAATCATATAAAAGTGAAAATAAAAAATTTAAATGGTTCATAATTGTTGTTGCTTGAGATTGAAAATGAAAATGTGTGTGTGAGTTTGTGAGTAAATTTAAAAATTAAATTGTTTGGAAACGTCAAGAATTTTAAAATTGACTCTCAGCGGTTCTACCTTACTATATTTTTATCATGGTAGGCATGGTAGATTGAAAACATATAAGCCACAAAGCCACACTAAATTGTAAATATTTTAGGATTAAAATTTTAAATAATTTCACAGTTATACAACTCTGACATATGTATTGGCTTTTACACCATGACAACTTAATCCATTGTCAATAGATTTTCACCATACTGAACCAAATAGCAACTCTGGTATTTTGCTTTTTTGCATTGATGTTGGACGTTCATTGGAATTGGTCTTGGAATTGGTTGAGTCGTTGAATTCGGTTGCTTTTGGATACGTTTGGTATATTTAGGTGGACCCGGGGGGCTGAAGATGGAAAAATTAATAAATATAACTAAACAGTATTCTAATTTGTGAATATAGTGACAACAACAAATGTGAAAGTGCTAAGCAAATAGCGGTGTAATGTTATTCAACTGAAGTATATAGATCACTGTGGGAAGTAAAATCAATAAAATTTAAAAATAACTTTATACAATAATAAAGGAAAAAAGAAACTAAAATCAGTGACTGGATGTATTGCAGTTTATTGTTTACACTAATACCTTAATCAACTATATAGTGGGCATATTCGCCAACCTCCAAAAGTAAACTACACATATTTCTTTTGGCATGACGCAAACACCATCTGGCTCCGGCGGCCCCAATATCAGCAATTTGATGACGACAAGCAGTACACCAATACGCATTGGTAGCAGTTCAGCTTCAGTTGCGACTCAGCATGCAATGACCGGAAATGACTCATCTTCCCCGGGTGGTGGAGGCAGTGCGGGTGCTGCGAATTCAGCCGTGCCTCAATCAAGCAGTGTACCAACTGGTGCAGCCGAAACACTGCGCCAGCACCTGCAAAGTCAAATATCGCTGTCTATGGGAGCATCCAATCAATCGTTGGGTGTCAGCGCCGGTGCTGTAGGTGTTTCAAGCATAACTCCGCCTAATAGTGCAGGATTGCGGCAAACTGGAGGTAATTTTGAACACACATACATACATATGTAATAATTAGAATATTGGTGAACTCTTTATAAACTTTAGTTGCGATTCTATTTGGCTTCGTTTAAATTTATAAATGCTAAAACAGCCAACCTAAAAACAGTAAATACATTCATATATGCAAATAAACAAGAGTATTAGAACAACACAAACAATCAGCGAGCCCAACTACCTATCACAATTGGACACTAGATATTAATCAATATTCACAATTAGCATTTCTATGGTGCCTTTGTCCGCACCAAACTCACTTAAATATCCGTTACAATGAAGTACTTTGCACTGTAAAACTATCGTTGCTTTCCCTCAATTAAATTAGTGATTAGGGCTGTAAGATAACGCGTAGCCCATTGAGTGGTGCAAGTACGCAGCTCATAGCCATTGTAAAAAAATTCAGTCTGGTTGAACCACTCTTTCTAAGTTAAACTTGTTATTATTTTTCTATTAATCAAAACCATATAAATCGATGCTTCAAACTATACAAAATTTAGGAAAACTTAACAAATTTTCATCATACATAACTTCATAACTTTAAACTGTTTTGATCTGAATTTTTAGGTATGCAGTTTTATACATAACTCTTGTTTCCATTTATTAACCGACTTCCAAAAAAGGAGGAGGTATCAGTTCGTCGAAACATTTTATTTTTTTGTATTTATTTTTTTATTTTTTATGTATGTATGTTACCGCATAACTTTGGACCACGTCAACCGATTTTTGCATCGGAAAGGTAGTGTCTCAGAGGTGGTCCCATACTAATCTGGTGTATATCCGATCGTTGGATCATGCAATATATATGTATATATAAGAATTAAGATCTGTTTTGTTTTTTGCTTAAAAAGTACTTGTTCCATATGCATTTACATATACATATAATATATTTCCTAAAAATATGCGTTTGTTATAAACATGCCATCAAAGCATTTTAGAAAAAGCAAAATTACCAATGCACGTATACTCGAATGTTGTCCCTGCGAACCATTTTTTCAGAGTATTCTGCATTGTAAAGAAATTTTAAAGAATTCGTTAAGATTTAATTCGATTTTTTGCCGAATTTTCTAAAATAAAATAAATTTTTCAAGAATTTTCTTTATTTTTCGTACAGAAATTTCTTTACGAGCTGTGTCAACCACTTCATATAATTTTCTTTGAAAATTCGTAAAAAAATCGTTACAGAAATGANCCTTAAGATTTTGGGAACTTTGGTTTGCAGGGGTACTATAAATTTTTCTTAAATAGTGCCACTTTCATCAGCAAAATTTTAATTTTACAAATACCATCACTTGTAATAACATATGTACATACAGTGGAGAAAAAACGAATAGGGACACGACATTTAAATAAATTTTTCCTATTTCGCTTTTGTTTATTTAATATTTAATATTTATTATTTTTTATAAAAGTATAGCTTACTATGTCACAAAACCATATAAATTCATATTTCAAACACTGTGCAAAAACTATAAAAAATCAGCAAAATTTAAAATAAATTTCCACTTTTTAGTCAGATTTTTTAGGATTTTTTTTTTGAGTATGCAGCTTTATAGCCCATTCAAGTTTAGTACAATAAAGTGCAAGTTAGATTTTTTACAAAATCGCACTGATTTTTGATAGTTTTTATTGTGTGTTTTGCACTTAACAAAAAAAAAAAAAAATTGTCGAGCATACTTTGTATGGAAGAAAATTCGGTAAAACAAATCGCCAAAAATCAACGCGATTTTTTAGCAACTTAACACTTCATTCTACTAAAATTTAATGGGCTATAAAACTACACACTCAAAAAAATTCTAAAAAATCTGATTAAAAAGTTGGAAATTTATTTGAAATTTTGCAAAATTTTTATAATTTTTGCACAAAGTTTGAATTATGAATTTATATAGTTTTTGTTAGATAATGTGCTATACTTTTATAAAAGATAATAAATATTAAATAATCAAAAGCAAAATAGGAACAATTGGTTAAAATGGTGTGTCCCTATTTATTTTCCAGCCACTGTATGTATTTATGTAAATATACATAAGTACCATGTATTTATACGTACGCACTTCATAAATTCTTTCGGTATAAATTCGAACTGATAAGTGCCTTTATCAAATATATAATTTTCGTATTTAGGTGCTTGACAATACTAAACATATGCACATACATAGGGGTTTTTATGGTAGCTGTTAAATATTTGTTCTCGCTTCAATAAATAAACCCTACCTTGTTCAAGAAACAAGCCAACAAATTGAAGAAATATGATAACGAAATAATTTTGTAGGCTTTGTTGGCTCATACATATTTACATAAGCAAGTACGTAAGTAAGTAAGTAAGTAAGTGTAAGTATATAAACAAATGCACAAGGAATAAGCTTAGAACATTTATACCACGCAATTTTCATTTTAAATTGTACATGATTCCAAACGCTGCCATTTTTCCCATGGCTCTCGCCTAGGTCATGGTCATTGGCAATTGAAACGAAACTCATTTATTTTTCATCCACGGGAAACTATAAATTAAATGGACTAGTAAAAACAAGTGAGCATTTTTCCCAATGCTATTGCCTTCTTGGTTTGATATACAGATGTACATATAAATATACATGTCTACAAACATATGTATGTATGCATATTAGTATCCACTGAATGTTTGATGTTTAATTAGCTCGGTTGCGTGTCTAAGTACATATGTATACCTACTGTACTTAAGTTGAATAAAC